GGAGCCCTTGCTTGGAAACTTTAGCTAATTGAGTGTTCTGCCCTCATTGACCTGGTGGCCCCACTTACCATCCTCGTGTGAGCTTCATCGCAGGGGAGTCACCCAGGAGCACTCTGATTGGTGGATCAGCATCAAGGGCCAGTCCCTGAGCAAGTCACACCCTAGCCCTGCCTCCTTGAAGAAGGAGCCATGAGAAGAAGGCTCTGATTTGCTGGTTGGGGTCACAAGTCTATTCTTGGGCCAACCGGTTCCCGGGGCCTATAGAAAATCCTTGGGAAGGCTTTGATTGGCTCACTGGGGTCAGGCAATTTATGGGAGGTGGACAGGTGTCTCTGGTTGCCTCCTGGCTGAGGCTTTGGCCCTGTTTGCCAGGATCCCTGGTCTAGGAGCAAGGGGGATAGGGGTAGGCCCTGTTTTGGCAACACCTGGTGTGTTGTAAAACAGAGGCCCTCAGCACACGCCCCACCCTGCCATCAGGCTATACCTTCTGGGCTCACAGTCTCGTAATTCACTTCTCAGCAGCCCCTCCTCACTGGCCTCCAATTGGGATGTTCAGAGTTTGTTACAGAGGATGAGTGGGACTGTGGCTGAGTCCCACTCTAGAATATTCCAGGTTCACTGCGTGTCCCCTGGAGGTTTGTGCCCCTCATCTGAGCCGTAGGCTTTGGTGCTGGGAGGGGCCTGGGGCTCTGCCTCTCCAGCTTTTAATTTTGACAGATTTCATTTAGCTGACGCCCCCCCCCACACACACACAAGGCTTCCCATGACAGCACACACACACACACACACACACACACGGAATTCCTGGGGACAAGACACGCAGACACATACAGACACACACAGTTCTCGTGACACAGACGTTCACGGTCAACTCGCTGGGTCATTCGGGTCTTCCCTTCTGGGGGCTGGATGCTGACACCCCTGAGTGTCATCTGAGTGTCATCGTGCACCAAGCTGGTTTTCTCAGAGAGGGATGCTGGGGCACTGGCCCCTGGCGAGGTGGCTCGTCCTGGACAGGCAGGTAGGTACCCTTCTCCCGCCTGCCCCTGACCTGCCCCTCCTGTCTTCCAGAACACCATGCTGCACTACCCATGGTGGGAGAGCTACTTTCCATCAGCACCATACCCGGCCTTCCCCAGCGACAGCCAGTAAGTGCAATAGAGATGGGGGAGGGGAGAGGGGCTGGGCTGAAAACTGACCTTCTGCCATCCCCCTGTGGGGTTACATGCTGGGCTGCTCACTGCAAGGCCAGCCACTCCTCAGGAGAAAAGTGAGGCTGTCTGCCCCCTGGATGCTTCCAGCCTGCACAGCGACAGGGACAGGCCCACCATTCTGTCCTGCAGGGATCCTGTGAGGCAGAATCCATGGGGGTGTCCAGGAACTCTAGGGGGTGAGTGGGGCACTCCCACCAAGGGCAGCAGCTGAGCAGTCAGAGCCTGCAGGGTGGAAACCCAAGGGCTGGGGCAGGTGGGGGGGCGGGCACCGCTGGAGCCCAGGAGTTGAGGAGCTGCCCTCTGGTTAAGGAGCGGTTTGGGGAACCACTGGGACAGAGCAGGCAGAAAGAGGTGGGTCCCAGGGGCGTCAGTCCAGGCTCTAGGCTCACCCAGTGCTCTCCCGCTAGGTTGGACACACTCCCAGAGCGAGACAGGCCCGGGGTGGGAGACCTGTAAGCAGGGAAGGCTAGGGAAGGGGCTGTGGAGCTGGCAGCGAGCTCCGCCGCTGAGGACCAGCTGGCTCACTGCTCTGCTCCTGGCTGTGTCCAGCCTCCTCCTTCCTGAGCCAGTTTCTTGGCCTGGGTTGATGGGTGTGTGTGTGTGCTGTGTCCCAGGACTGCCATTGTCTCTGAGACCTCTCTGTACCCAGACAGAGTTGGCCTCAGAGTATGGGATGTAGGCAGCCATAGGGTCCCACCAGCCCCTTTACTGAGAGGGTAGATGGCAGTGTGGTCAGGCAGGGAAGCCCCAGGGCACAACCTTGGCCGGTGTACTTAGACCCTGTGGCCTGGCTGCCCACTGCAGATGGCTGTGGAGTGGGCTCCCCAGGGGCTGGAACGAGGATCCCATCACTTTCTGTACATCTCTCCCTCCAGCCAGTTTGGGACTTCTGTCTCCTACTTGTACCCAGCTGTGGGAGGTCAACCTGGCCCGGATACCAGCTATGTCTCTACCTATGACCGCAGCTACCTACCAAAGAGCAGCCACGTCCCTCAGGTAAGATAGACCTCTGGGGCCAGGCAGACACAGCTGGTCCTTGGGAAGAGACAGCCCCATGGGCAGGGACCTCCCCAGTTACCCATGGCTCTGACCATGGCCTCAGGCCACAGCTTGAACCCACCTCACCAGGTATCCTGCCCCCCACTCCCCTGTGCCACCTTTCCACCCAGCTGCCCATGGTTACACCCACCTCCTCCCCCACCCTCCCCCTACACTTGTCACTTGTCCCCTACACCTCTGCCCCCACCGCCCCTGGTGCTCTGGTGACACATCAGACAGCCTTCTGGAGGGACATTCAGGGTCTTTCCAGGGTGCTGCTGTTGCCAGTGCCGTGGGGACTTCTTTACACTGTGACTGTCCCCAGGCCACTGCCTGGAGGGCCATTCCCAGCGGGGGAGGCTCTGCTGGGCATGGTGTATGGGGGCTGCACATGGAGGAGCTGGCTGTGGCACGTGTTAAGTGGGGCCAGGCTGGGCTGCATGCCGGTCTTTGGGGGGCATGTCTGGCCTGTCTGGCCCTCGTGTTGTGCAGCCACTCAGATGTGACGTGGGCCGGCAGCACACTCGTACGCTGGCTCTGTCCCCGTGGCTCTGTTGTTGCTCGCTGAGTAGTGCCTCTAAGCCAGACCACTGTCACCGAGTCAGTGTGACCATGGTGGCCAATTGCAGGGCAGACCGACAGTGACTGTGCAGAGGCCCCCACCCTGCACTCAGACACCCTGACCCCGGCCCCCACCCCCTAACGCACACCCTGACCCTGGCCTCCACCCTGCACTCAGACACCCTGACCCTGACCTCCACCCTGCACTCAGACACCCTAGCCCCGGGCTGCCTGCACAGCATGGCTATGTGGAAGGGAGCCCTGCTGTGGTGGGCTGGTGTTTTATCCTTGTGTGTGGATGGGAAAACTGAGGCACAGAGGGCTATCTGAGGGGTAGAAGTTCTCCTGACTTTAAGGTCAGATTCTCCACAGAGGGGCCCATGGAGACAGTTCACCCCTACTCATTCCTTCTACTCACCCCTTTATCTGTAATGTGCTCTGCCCCACTCTTCTGTCGCCTGGTCCCCTGGGCCTGCTGACACCCCTGCCTTCAGAACCTAGCCGGTGGTTGCATCTCCCGCCAGGACATCATGCTGCAGTGAAGGACCAGGGGCCAGCACATGCGCGTAGGGTCTGGTAGACTTCCTTCTGAGCCTTGAACTGCAGACAGGGTTACTGTCGATGACTTGGTGTGGCCATGGGTGCTGGCCCCAAAAGACACAGGAAGGGCTGGGACCTAGGACGGCAGGGCCTCAAGAACCTGGAAGAGGTGGGAGACGCTTCTCCCCGTAGCCTCTAGAGGGAGCCCTTTTGGGTTCTACAGTGTTGAGGGGGTGGGGGAGACTGGTGTAATCTGGGAAGTGTCTGGTGCTTGGTAAACCCTGCTGCTGTGGCTTAAGCCCGGAGGGCCCACCCCACCCCCAAGGTGGTCAACAGTCCACACAGCTCAGCTCAAGTCCCAGCTTCCCAGCAGCCCCACCTCCATGTGCGACTGGTGTCTGCTTCCCGTGGGGCTGGGCAGCTCATGGGACCCCAGCTTGACTCTCCTGGGTACCGTGCAGAGTCAGGCAACCTCTCCTGGGGGGACTGGGAACACTAGGCCACCATGCCCCTCTGAGCAGCCTGCCAGGCGGCCTTCCAACACTCAGTAGGGGAGCTCAAAGCCTGGTGCAGCTCTGCCGCCAGCGCTGCTGGGGGGTCCCCTCAGGGTCCCCCCTAGCTGCCACATCACAGGACTGAGCCATGTCCAAGTGCCCTCCACATACAGGTGAGGCAAGTCAGGTGACTAAGGGGCATGCCGTCTACGGCCTCCCCCGGATCTTCTGAGAAGACGGATGTGGTCATAGCCGGCCAGGGAAAGTGGTAGCTGCCCCTACTCGTGGGACACAAGCATTGATTGGGCTGAGTGGCTGCTGGGGGATCAGGGGTCGGCCGGCCCTGCACCCTCGGCTCTGCAGTTCCCGGCAGTCATTCTGCAGGGAGAGTAAACAGTGTAGAGCTGGCTGGACTATTCTTACAGGAAGTCTTGGCACGCCCACTCCTCCTTCGAAGAACTGAGGGGGAGGGCAGGGCCTGGGTTGGACCCTGCAGACTGCTGTAGAGGGGCGCCTGAAAACAGCCCTGGGGAGCCTGCAGACAGGTGGGGGGGGGTCTGGGGGGGCCTGCAGGCATCTGGGGGTATTCTGCCTGGGCCCCCAGGTAGCCTTCTCTCAGCAACCCGCCCCCCACCTCCAGCCTTTGCCCCTACTCTGGGGTGCCCATCATCCCTGCTTTATCCTTCTTCCAGGAAGAGGGGTGCTCCCCACCCCACCTCAGTGTCCCCCATCTCCTCAGGGTCACATGTGGCTTCCCACCACCACTCTCCTCTACTGTTCTTTGCAGCAGGAGCTTCTCCCAGAGCAGTGCCCCTTGCCAACTCCACTCTCACCCATGGGAGCCGCAGCCCATCTTCACCCAGAAGCCCGCCCCCTGCAGAATGGTGGGGCATCACTTGTGGTGGGCCTGGGGTAGGGGGTAGACACCCCACTTTTCATAACCTGTCTCTCCCAGACAGGCTTCTCCCTGAACTCAGCGCCTAGCCCATGCCCCTCAGCCCTGGGTCCTCCCGTGGGGGTGGTTTCTTGCTCATCAGCCAGCCAGCTCGTGCTCTGGGCAAACTACTGGGGCTGGGGTGCTGTGCTGTGAACTCCCTCCTCATCAGTGGAGTTCCTGCAGTATGGCTGCCATGGGACGGGCACCGGACAGTGGACTTGCTGCCTCCTCGGAGCTGAGATCTGTGCTGGACATGCTCAGGAGATGTCAGAAGAGCCAGCCCCTAACAAATCATCACTGGCCCGGCAGGCGCAATTGTACAGCGATAATATGTAAAGGTTTCGGTAAAGACATAGGCAATAAGAGAGATAGAAGAGAGAAAGTAAAATGAAGGCGGCAGACACATTTCATGGTAGCATGCTCACCTCAGCCAAGCTTGGTGGTCCACTTGGGGATATGGAAGGTGGGAATGTCAGGGGAGAGGGAGTGGGGAAGGAGGACAGGGAGAGAGCAACCGGGGTGGGGTGGGGATTTATTTCTAACCAAGGGTTATATATTTTGGGGGGGGGCATGGCAAGCCCTCTAATTACAGGTAAAGACATACGTCACAGGAAGGGGTTGTACTATAGGTAATGCGGTAATAAGAGGGGGAGATCTAAAGGTATACTTCAACCAAATAGGAAGGGGAGGGATTGGGGGTACACAGGTGACAAGATGGACGGATCCTAGATTCAGGAAGGCAGCCTAACTTTGGATGTCACTGATCAGGTGTGACCTGTTCTCTGGCTCTCCATGGAAACAATGACTATCCTTATCAGTAAGGTGTGAGCCCCACCTACAGTGGACCAGACAGTAGTCTGATGGCTGAATGCCTTCAGGGAGAACATCTCTAAGCATCTGACCTCCCACCATGTGCTGGCAAACAGCCTCGAAGGTTTGGCATATCTTTGAGGGAGACAAAGCTGGGGAAAAACCTTTTTATATCCCACAAGGAGACCCCCTGCACAAGCCGCAGGTGGATGCACTGTGTCTGGAGTCTGCTTCCCCGAGTCCTAACTTTCTCTTCAGTGGTTACTGGTTGAGGACGACAGACTACGTTTTCATCCAACGGTGCATACGCTGCTGAGTGACAGCATGTTCCCAGGGTTCTCGCCTGCCTGCCCACCTCGTGAGGCTACTTGCTCTAAGGGGTGTGAGCTTCCCAGTGTGGCTGCCCACCTTATTGCGCCTCGTATGTGGGGTCAGCTCCTGGTCAGAAGCGTGACTATGGACCAGTCTTGAGACCCCAAGCCAGGTCTTTTTTATGAGTGTGAATTCTGTCCCACCTCTCTTTCCCCTGCTCCAGGTCCTGCTGTGACCCCTGTCAGGATGGTCAGCAGTGGTGGCCACACACCATCCAGTTCTTCTGGGCTCAGGGAGGGCAGACTGGTGTGGGGGGCATTAGTGCACTGGACCCATTGTGTCCCTGTGTCTTCCCTCCGGTGAAGAGTGGCTGCTAGTTGCATGTTAGATGGTTGTCCACAAGCTGCTCATGCCCAGCTGCCACTGTCCACAGTAGCACGTGGAACCTTGTTCTTGTGGATCGTGTCAGGCCAGTTGTGTTGTGTCCCTGGGAACTCTGGTTCTGAGCACCAGGCCCCCACCATGTTGGTTTGTCTGAGCCGTTTCCATGACCTTCGTGGGTCAGCCTGCAGCAGAGTTCGACACAGTCCTTTCTGCCCACGGCCCCGAGCAGACCTCCCAGGCCTTGGCCCAGGCCCATCAGGTTGTGACTGGTATGGGAACTGCGGTGCCCTTGAGACAGCCTCCGGTGTTGGAGGCGTCCTGGTGCCGTAGTGGACTAAGCACTGCGCTTCTAACTGAAAGGTCGGCTCGCACTCAAACCCCCAAGTGCTCCAAGGGACAGTCCAGCTTTGGAGACCCACGGGGCAGTGCTGCTCTGCCTGGGCTCCTTCTGAGGCCGTCCCTTTGCTGGGCACTGGGTTCCTGCCACCATTGCTGTGCGCACAGGGCTTGGTGTGGGTGGGCCTGGGTGCCCCGCCTGGCTGGCTTCCTGAGCCCCCCAGCACTGAGAGTGTTCTTTCTTGGACAGCCTCTCCCTCCCCTGGGGACTCGAGGCAGTTCTGCATGGTCCTCCTGCCTCCCTTCCATGGAGGATGGTGAGGAGCCTCCCCGGTGCTGCAGAGAGCCAAGTGGGCTGTGTGCACAGCACAGGTAGCCCCGGGCTTCTAGAAGGTGCGGGTTCCCCGGCTCTTTGGCCAGCCATGCTGTCCTGTCACTGCGGGCTGCTTAGCACGGAAACAGCACACCCCTCCTCCCACAGAGCTTTGCACAGGCACTGTGAAGACACACTGCTCCCTGGCTTTGCACAGACACGGGATACT